GACTCAACAATTCAGCCTCATTCTCTTCTTCGATCCTTTTATCGGCCCATTCATCCACTTCCGCCGCTAATCTTTGCTCTCCTTCAACAGAGTCGTCCACCCTCTCAGCTAAACCAAGCTGAATCTCATCCTGCGTTAGTCGATTCTAACTGTCCCTCTGTAAATACCCATCACCTTCACCATCGACAACTCCTTTCGTCCCAGACGACAGCCGTCGCTGGACCTCTCTCTCTCCAAGTGGTCGTCCTTCGTCATCAAACAAATCGGGTCGAACTTCAGCTCCCAGTGGCTGAAATTCAGTCCGGATTCCCTCCTCCAAGATATGAGCCCCATTCATATAACCCACTAGGCCCAATTCATTTGGATTGAACTCATCACTTCTTTGAGGCCCAGCATTATATTCCTTATATTGTTTAGAAAATGGCCCGTCCCTTGGAAAAATAGAATTGGGCTTCTGATAATGAATCTCTCGGCCCATATTTAGTAACTCAATTGAGCCCAAAATATTACTCGGCCCATTATGCCCCTTCTGTGGCCCATTCAATAACATTTTAATCCCCCTATCTCTTGGTCTTCCCCCCACCTCCACTACAGCACTGAAGCTTTCCCCTGACCCTTCAACTCCTTCGCCCCTTTGACTTCTCCTTTCCAAGCTTCCACGTGTCCTCCCTGATCTTTCCGCCCCATCGGCTTCCCTATCGGCGGCGATAGGATCGCCTAAAGATGCTAGTCAGAAAACCTTTGGCCACGCTTCCACTTGGCGACGCACTGTCTTGGACAAAGATTTCAAACACACCATTGACGATTGTCCTTCCATCTTCACCTCCATGAACGCCGGCAGAAAACCAGAGTCAAAGCCTCTAACTTTCAACCTAGCCTCAAAAAGATTATCCAGAGCTATGGTTCTTCGATCAACTTCCAACAAACCACCACATCTCTCTCCTATGTCCTGGAAAACCTGATCATTCCAAAGGGTAAAAGGCAGATCACACACTGCAAACCACCCTCCATAAGAGACGATGACCTCTGGTTTAACATGCATCTCCTCAGACCACTTCTCCAATCTAACTGCCACACCTTTATCAAAGAATCTCAGACCCTTTGCTCCTAGAAGGCTCGTCTCCTCACATTTACTAGCCCAGAACAAAGCACAATTGAGTTGGAAGGGCCGTAGAGCAATAGTCATCTTTAAATACTTACTCAAATTCTTTTCAATTTGATCCTAGCTACTTGAAAAGTCACATCGTGTGCATACAACAGCCCTCTCCAAATCACTCTTTAAACTACTCAGCCGATTCTCAGTGAACAAATCAACAAACCTCTTACCTCTATTCTCCCATGTTTTCCTATCCATAAACCTCTCCTTTGTGTCCTTGCTCTGTACTTCTTCTATGAAGTTAGCCTTGACTTCCATGCCTTTGAAATTTGCCCTGGCATCATTGCGAATGACTTTACGAAGCATTGTAGCAATATCTAGCCACCCACGACCATTATACCCCGCTGGAAAAATGATGTTGCCTTTTTTAACACCTCCCTCCCACTTCAACATCTCAACAAAGACACCCCTATCATTCGTATACTTCTGTAAACAGAAAACAGCGGAGCTGCTATGATACTTACTAAAAAAAGATCCTCCTCTGTAGCATGACCCCAACTGCTGAAGCGCTTGGACAACCCAGCTCATTCCTCCCAAATCGATCTTCAACGAAAAACTTTGCACTCTAATCCTCTCTATAATCTCCACTATGCTCCCTCTAGATTTTTCATCAAGCTGTATAATAATAATCTTCTGTTCAATCCTCAGTTATGAGGATAGCTCCTGATACGCCCTCATTCCTCTCTCTAACAAGATCGGTTCACCCTCATTTATTTTATTAGGATTTTACTGTCACTTTTTGGAAGTTGTCAAGACATTATTTGAATACAGTAATCCCTTTTAAATAGAGCATTCTTCAATACTTCTAGTTTGTTACATGATCCAATTTGTTAGGTTTTGTAGGCGCATGGAAGATGTAGGTGTTACTCTTCTTTGTTACTAAACTCCCTTTCTCATATCAGTTTATTCTGCAAATCATTATAGTTTCAATGGGCTTTGTCATTGGCATCTCCTACAGGAAATTAGAGGTTTGTTTTAGTAGTAGCGTTAAGGTTTGTGGTGTCCAATGTATATTCATATATACGTAAACATTTATGGAGATATATTTTCAACACTAACGAGGATTTTTGCTGATTAAGTAGTTTCTCATTTGCCTTCTATTCCTTTTTTGTTTTAGTGAGAAATGATTCATTGTTATGGTTGATAGTTGTCTGGGACCATGTCTTCTTGATTTTATCATGAATGAAAAGATTCAATGTTTTCATGGCTTGTAGAATCCTTCTTTCATGTATTGCATCACCCATATAACCTATAGTGCTGTACGATTTTCATGCCAACTGGTTGTAGTTGAAAGACAATACTCCTTTCTTGGTTAATTGATCTGGATTCTGAGGATCTTGCTCAGTGGCGACTCCAAAATTTTTTACAAATTCTATAAAATACTAATTGGCAACTTTTTTTCTCCTTTGATTTTGTTTTTACTCTTATTCCCATCTTCTTCTTCCTTGTTCAGGGAGTTTTGAAAAAAAAAAAGCATTCTTCAATACTTCTAGTTTGTTACATGATCCAATTTGTTAGGTTCTGTAGGCGCGTGGAAGATGTAGGTGTTACTCTTCTTTGTTACTAAACTCCCTTTCTCATATCGGTTAATTCTGCAAATCATTATAGTTTCAATGGGCTTTGTCGGTGGCATCTCCTACAGGAAATTAGAGGTTTGTTTTAGTAGTTGCATTAAGGTTTGTGGTGTCCAATATATATTCATATATACGTAAACATTTATGGAGATATATTTTCAACACTAACGAGGATTTTTGCTGATTAAGTAGTTTCTCATTCGCCTTCTATTCCTTTTTTGTTTTAGTGAGAAATGATTCATTGTTATGGTTGATAGTTGTCTGGGACCATGTCTTCTTGATTTTATCATGAATGAAAAGATTCAATGTTTTCATGGCTTGTAGAATCCTTCTTTCATGTATTGCACCACCCATATAGCCTATTATACGATTTTCATGCCAATTGGTTTTTGTTCAAAGACAATACTCCTTTCTAAGTTAATTGATCTAGATTTTGAGGATCCTTCTCTGGCGACTCCAAATTTTTTTACAAATTCTATGGAATACCTATTGACAACTTTTTTTTCTTCTTTGATTTTGTTTTTAACAATGATGTCCATAGATCAAATTCTTTCGTGGATTACATTTCACCTAAGAAGCACGGACATTTCTAAGAAAGTGGTGTGTCTGTGTCGTGTCCATGTCGGACACCGACACTCATTGGACACTTCTTGACATGTGTTTGACACTTGTCAAAATGTGTCTTATTTTTTAAAGATTTTTTTAGATCCGGACACTCTTTAGACATTTGTGTCTATTGCTTAAACACACGTGTCCACCAATTAGACACACATGAAGCTAATTATAAGTTTGTACTAAATAATTTAGGTTACAATAATAAAAGAAAAAATGTATATAAATTTATAATATATCTTTGAATAATATATTTATATATATATAATGAAAAATTATATTAAACCACCTCAAACTATCGGCGATTTACACTTTATCCCCTAATGTTTTAAACCTAACAATTATCCCCTTCAAACTATTTGAATTTGAACATTAAGTCCTTTTATTAATCATTTGTTAGATATTTGGATAAAAAATTGTCAAGTGTTGTGCACATGATATGATTATATTAAATTTTTACAAAAGATAAAATAGGGTAATTTGGTCATAAAATTTGACATAATCATCACGTGAATTGCACTTGACAATTTTTCATCCAAATATCTGACTAACAGAAGGACTTAATGTTCAAATTTAAATAGTTTGAGAGGGGTGATTGTTGGGTTTAAAACATTAAGGGGGTAAAGTGTAAATGGCCGATAGTTTGAGGGGGTTTAATATAATTTTCCCTATATAATAAATATATAAAATTATATATTTTGAGCATGTCCGCCACGTGTCTTGTGTTGCATTTTTTGAAAATTGGCGTGTCAGCATGTCCGTGTCGTGTTGCATGTCTGTGTTCATGCTTCTTAGGATTTCACTTGATTGTCTACGGTTCCATTGTGTGTACTCGAGTTAGAAGTTTTGTATAAATGTATTCTTATGTTTATAGTTGTCCAATAAAATTGATTTTTGATATAGATAACCTTTACTACAAAGCCAATGAGGTAGATCATAAGTGTGGGGTTGGCACCCACAAGAGAGGTATGGAGAGATGATGCATGAAGAGGTGCTTATCCCCTTATTTGGAGCCTCTCTCCCACTTAAAGAATTTATATGTAATAGTGGTTTGTACTATAATTGATAATTCATTTTACTTCATCGTAACTAATATATATTGTAATAAATAAATAAATTATTTAATGCTAGAGACTCTAAAACATAACACTTAAATTTATTAACATTGATGTGAAATAGGGTTGAGTCTTAGTTGGTTGATTTTTAAACAAGTCAACAATTGACATCCATCAGTTAAGTTATTGGGATAAATTTAAGAATGATATTTTAGGAGTCAAAAAGCATATTCGTGAAAATAAATAGTGTATTCTTTGAATTATAAGCACAAGTGTGAGGGTTCAAGCAAAATCTGAGTGGGTTCATTGAACCTATAATTCTGTACTGCAAAAATTTCATTTGTATAGTAAAGAATTTTCAAACTTGAGTGGGTTCGGTTGAACCCTCTTAATTCCACATAGTGTCGCCCGTGATCCTGGTGAATGGCACACTACATGTGGTTTAGAGAATTTATTCTGATTAATTTGTACTAAGGTATGCTTGAGTGAATAGGAAGCATGATCCTTCTGTTTCCATAAACCTAATGTCACAGTTGAAATCCATGTCCCAGTGAGTTGATTTCATTGTAGTTGTTAGTTCTTATGTATATCCACTCTTTGAATGAAAACTCATTAAAGTTGTGTATGTTAGGTTGGAAGTGATTCAGGAGGTTGGAGCATCACCAACAGCTTTGTCTCACAGAATGAGGACTCAGGCGAAACAATAGCTTTCTTATTTGGAGACATGGGAGCGGCAACACCATACTCAACCTTTCTTCGCACACAAGATGAAAGCATATCAACTATGAAGTGGATCAGCCGTGACATTGAAGCTCTTGGTGACAAACCATCTTTTGTTTCACATATTGGAGATATCAGCTATGCGAGAGGATATTCATGGCTGTGGGACACCTTTTTCGCTCAGATTGAACCTGTTGCCTCGAAAGTCCCCTACCATGTCTGCATCGGTAATCATGAATACGATTGGCCTCACCAGCCTTGGAAACCAGACTGGTCCTACTCTGTATATGGGAAAGATGGTGGCGGTGAATGTGGTGTGCCCTACAGTCTCAGATTCAACATGCCTGGGAACTCTTCAGAAGTGACTGGAACCCGTGCCCCTGCCACTCGTAACCTTTACTACTCATTTGATTTTGGGTCAGTGCATTTTGTGTATATATCAACGGAAACCAATTTTCTTGCTGGGAGCAGCCAATATAACTTTATAAAGCATGATTTGGAGTCAGTTGATAGGAAAAAGACCCCTTTCGTGGTTGTCCAAGGGCACAGGCCAATGTACACAACAAGCAATGAAAACAGGGATGCCCCATTTAGGGAGAGACTACAAGAGCACCTGGAACCTCTGTTTGTGAAGAATAAGGTGACCCTTGCATTGTGGGGTCATGTCCATAGATATGAGAGATTTTGTCCTATAAATAACTTCACTTGTGGGAGCATGGGCTTGAATGGGGAGGATTCAGAGGGATTTCCTGTGCATATTGTGATTGGAATGGCAGGACAAGACTGGCAACCCATCTGGGAACCAAGAGCAGACCACCCTAATGACCCAATATTCCCACAGCCGGGGCGGTCTTTGTACCGAGGAGGTGAGTTTGGATACACTAGACTGGTTGCCACCAAGGAGAAACTCATATTTTCTTATGTGGGTAACCATGATGGGGAGGTACATGATATGGTGGAGATTCTGGCATCGGGACATGTTCTCAATGGTGGTGGAAGCAGTGATGATGGTTCTACAGCTAGTAGTACGATGATGGAGTCAACGTTTTCATGGTATGTGAAAGGAGCAAGTGTACTTGTGCTCGGGGCTTTTGTGGGATATGTCATTGGATACATATCACATGCCAGGAGAGGAGCTGCCTCTGGAAATAATTGGACTCCCGTGAAGAATGAGGAAATTTGAGTTTCAGACTGCACTTCAAAGCAAGTACATGGGAAAAAATGCTTGGAATCACACACTTTATTTCCATGTTGCAAACTACGCACTCAATACAGTGAAATTATTCAACTTTGAGCGAGCTAGGTGGGCTGGAATGCTTTTTAATCATAACCTTAATTTACTATACATGTAAACTCCCCAAAAGTTTTTGTAAATATGCTTGTATTGTTGCAATGTAAGTGAATGGAAGAAGCATTGGTGGTTAATGTTAGATTATGCATGTGTTTAAGCATTGGTATCTCAGCTGCATAGCATGCATCTTGTCTGATAGATTATGTTATGTATTGCCATTCTTGTATAAACGCAATTTTTAGCCATATTCTCCATGCTGCTGTCTGAGTAAGAGTATCTTCAATGGACCACTTTTAAAGAAATTAAAACAGAAATTCATCTTGTCCGATAGATTATATTTTGAAATATGTTTCTATTTCTATGTTTGGATGGGTCTCTTCTCCCTTGGTGGTAGCTGACTTCCCGGTTGGGATTCTCTGTCCACATTCCCTGTCCCAACTCCCTGTGCCGTTTTCGTAAAGCCACCGCGTGTCCATTAAGTAAAGCAAACTTCACTCTGTTAAAACCTCTGTCAAAGCCCATTCCACGGCGATTAGTATCTCTTCATTCTCTTTTATATTTTTCCTTAGTCATTGGCCACAAAAATACCACTGACTGACCGCCTTTTTCCCTCTCTCTCCTTTCTCTCATCTGTCTTATCACTTCTCCCCTCTTCTCATTAAACCCAAATCAAAGGAAAAAAAGAAAACCCAATTGTGGTGGTCGATTGTACTCCCTGTATGGCATGATAATCTAAATAAAAAACATATGTACTCAATACCCAACCAAGCTTCCCAGTCATAGAACTACAAGTCAAGGCAATAGCCAATGCAAGATTACCCAACAAAATATGAAAATATATTTTTAGCATAATTCTGCAGCTATAAATAACAAGAAATAGCATAATTGAACAAAAATAATATTAAGATTATTCCCAGACTCCAAAAATCAAGGAAGAACCAAGCTTACTAGCTAATTTGTGAATGAAGGATCAAGGAGATCAGAAATTTGTTCAAAGGGCACTTGCAATTCTATTTTAATCTCTCATCTCTTCAGCTTTCCTTTTTCTGCATGTAGAAAGAGTACTTTTGGAATTGTCTTCTTGGTATCATGTATTTGCCAAAAAATTATAGGAAAATAACAGAAAATGAAGACAAAAATGAGTGCCACCATCTCTAGCAGAAAGGCAAATCAAATGAGTTATATATTAACCAAGAACACAACTGTATAACTTAAAAACACTCTGATGACACCATTAATCATTATTTAAAAATCTGGGGAAACCCATTGAAGAATCTACTAATTCACAAAACCTTAACGCTACATATAGATCCTGCATTTGATGAGACAAAACAACAGAAGAGGGAAGGGAAATCATTTGATGAGACAAAAGCAAAGGAACTGTATAAAGTAAAAAAAAAATACAAAAAATACAAAAAATAAGAAGAATAGCATGACAGACTAACTCAACAAGGCTTTGCTCAAATTGGTTGAACAAAATGGGAGTCTTCATATGCTAACATAAAGAGATGAATATAGGCATAGAAGCTAAAAATTTACATGATTTTGATTTTGTATTATATAGTAATTGACTCTAACCATTTCTCCATGATCAGTTTCAAAATTTTAACGTCAACGAACAAAAAAGCACAAGTATACCATCAAACTTCAGTGTGCTTTTGTGTAAAAAAACACAAGTATACTAGTGTGCTTCAGCGTGCTCTCATTAGCTTGCCTTTTTTCCTCCAACTTCAAGTAAACTGACATCAATGTGGAGGAAAGAACAAATACATAAGCCACATAGCTCTAATTCTAATTTTATTTTTTTCAGATACCAAAAGAGTTAATAAAATCAGCAAACTTCCTTACCGCTTTTCTCCTTTGTGCTTGTTCATCACTTTTGAAACTGAACACTACAGAGCTCTTCTTCATGCTTGGTTTGAATTCTCAGCTTGCTTGGGCTTGCGCAAAATAACTGAACATCATACCATATGTGTGTGTCAATTTTCGACCACACTGCCAAGCAGGTACCCAGCTGGAGAGCACTGGCAGAATAAATGGCACTTGACTGACCTGTAACAGAAAGAGAAGATCCCGGCGGTGGTTCGTCCACCCGGGGGCACTCCGACAATCAAGTCAGTACTCAATATCTCTCAAAGATAACCAATAGTGCTTAACTTTCTAGCTTGAGCATAAAAAGCATACCTTAGACCCATGGGGGTGCCTCTCTTTTATAGTTACCTCAATCCTAATCCCAATAGAAGCCTGACTTCTATGGATTCATGTTCAGTACTTACTTTGGACTCCTAGTAGAATTAGAATAAACTCTCTAAGAGTCTCATCTTTACCCAAACTGAAGTCTTCTCTCATTCTAGGACTCTTGTCTCTTATCCGCTTATCTCGGATTCCGGTATCTTCGGAGATAACCTCAGCTTTGCCGAGATCACCTCGACGTCATGACCAGGACACGTGGCACCTCGGCCGGCACTTCGGTGACACCTCGACCACGTGTCGTTATTCAAAATTTTATGTCCCCACAACTGCCCCCTAGGTTCTATGACCTCGACATCTTGAGGTGATGGAACCTATATCATTTCTTCGAATTTAGCACATCGGCTAAGCTTACTCCCTTATTTGTTGCCGAAGTCAGAACTCGTCGGCTCAATATGACCAAGACCTATAGTCTGCTTTCATCAATGTTTTGGAACTAACAACCAAGCTTTGTTCGAGTTTCTCAGCCGAAACCATCCTCCTAGCCAAGGTATTTGCTTCATTGAATCAAGAACTCCAAGAGTGTCATCACACGTGAAAGCTGTCACGCACAGCAACCCAACCGTTTCAGTCATGCGTCTTTCCCTCACTGAATTGTACTTTGTTTTCTTTTTGAAGTAATGTAAACTCTTCACATTGCCGATGTGTTTTTAATACAACAACTCTTTTGCTTTTGAATACTTGCATGCTTGCTTTGTATGCCTCCATTCTTCAATCCTCGTGCAATCTCCTCGGGGTGATACACCTCGGTTATACAAACTAATGTTTTACCTCCGTAAGTACCCAAGTACTTTAATTTGATACAACCTTAGCCCTAACTTGTAAATTTATCACAAATTTTAACAAGTACAAGACATATCCTTTGTCATACTTCAACTTGTAAACTTTTCTCAAGTTTCAATCATTGTTTAAATAATGATCTCGGTTTAACTTCAACTTGTAAATTGTCCACAAATTTCAACAAGTGTTAAACAATGACCTCAGTTTAATTTCAACTTGTAAATTGTCCACAAATTTCAACAAGTGTTAAACAATGGTTTCGGTTTAACTTCAACTTGTAAATTGTCCACAAATTTCAATAAGTGTTAAACAATGATTTCGGTTTAACTTCAACTTGTAAATTGTCCACAAATTTCAACAAGTGTTAAACATCATCTCGGTAAACTCTTCTCTTCTCGGACTTCATCATCTTAGGCCGAGATCTTGTCTTTTGGGATCTGGGATCCGAGATCTGGAATCTGGGATCGGCTTACTTGGGCTGAGCTCTTGTCTTCTCATATCCAGTGTTATCTCGGCTTGATAGGTGAGGTCACCTCGGCATCTTGTCGCTTTCTCTGGAGGTAATCCCTCAAATCCTCCTTGGTTTGTCCAGGAGCTCGGCTATTTTCGGATTTTAGCCTCTTTGGTGCACTACTTCTTGTGTCATTGCGAGTCCTTTTGGACCTCCCTCCATTGGTCGCGTCGAAATAGAGGTCCTTTCCCTGAACATGCCGATGTTATTTGGAGTCAACTTCCTTGGTACGATGTGTCCTCTGTGAATCTCCCCTTCTTGATTCTCCTCGTCCGACCTCCCTTGAAGGCCGGTGAGAATGTTCCTTGGTCCTATCGTGCTAAGGAGTCGTAGGAGTTGTCTTCTCCCCCCCTGCTTGGGCATCTTTCTTGGCTGCTGGAATCGGCGTATCTTGTGATGGGAATGGTGGCTGGAGGTCGTACTCATTATAATACTTGCTTCGGTCTGATTTCTTCGGCACGTCGCCCTCCTGGCCGACGTCCTCTTCTCCATGATTCTTATCACGAGTTTCTTCGTTGTAGTTGTTTTCTTCGACGCCAAGGTCAATATGTTTCCCACTCTCAGTAGGGGTGTCGTCCCCAACCTTCTCTTTCGGTCTGTCGTTGGCCATCAATTCTCCTTTCGTTCCCACAGACGGCGCCAAATTGTGTGTGTCAATTTTTGACCACACTGCCAAGCAGGTACCCAGCTGGAGAGCACTGGCAGAATAGATGGCACTTGACTGACCTGCAACAGAAAGAGAAGATCCCGGCAGTGGTTCGTCCACCCGGGGGCATTCCGACAATCAAGTCAGTACTCAATATCTCTCAAAGATAACCAATAGTGCTTAACTTTCTAGCTTGAGCATAAAAAGCATACCTTAGACCTATGGGGGTGCCTCTCTTTTATAGTTACCTCAATCCTAATCCCAATAGAAGCCTGACTTCTATGGATTCATGTTCAGTACTTACTTTGGACTCCCAGTAGAATTAGGATAAACTCTCTAAGAGTCTCATCTTTACCCAAACTGAAGTATTCTCTCATTCTAGGACTCTTGTCCCTTATCCGCTTATCTCGGATTCTGGTATCTTCGGAGATAACCTCGGCCTTGCCGAGATCACCTCGGCGTCATGACCAGGACACGTGGCACCTCGGCTGGCACTTTGGTGACACCTCGGCCGGCACTTCGGTGACACCTCGGCCGGCACTTCGGTGACACCTCGGCCACGTGTCGTTATTCAAAATGTTATGTCCCCACACCATATATAAACACCATTGAAAAAAAAAAAAAACTCAAAAAGGAATATATTGCCAAAAATAAAAGGAAAATAGACGATGAAACTCAAGAAAGAAACAGGGGAAACATATTAAGTTAAGAATTAATAAGGTATAGTTTGAGCACCACCTTCAAACGGGCCTTACAGTTGTTCAAGTTGAAATAGTCATATTTTTTTTACCTCCAATCCTTGCAATGATAGAATGTTATGCCTTGTCCTACGTTACACGGACTCGGGTGCGGGTGCATATCTAAGGATCGAACACTTCAAAATTTAAAATTGAGGATACGTAGATATGGATCCAAATTTGGATACAGGGTACGGAAATACATTAAATAGTTATTTTTTAAATATATTTATTATATAAAG